TTGACTGTATTTATTTGGCAGGTGGACAGCGTCAAGCAGTGCTGTTTGGTCAGATTTGAGGATAACTCTGAATTCTGGGTCCTCAGGAAAGACATCCACTCATGTAAGTGAAGAAACTTTAGATTCACACTCAAAATGTAAGTAGTGAATACATCCAGAATGAAAAGAATTTATACTTTGCATAAAGAAAATGAAGCCTATTTTAGGACTATTGTAATTGAATTGAATTTTATTGACTAATTAAATTTTTTTCATTATTTCTTAATGAAAAGTAAGCACATCTCCCTTCCAAAGAGTTATTAACAGAATTCATGCCTTTTCCTTATATATATATAAGGAAAAGGCATGAATTCTGTTAATAACTCTTTGGAAGGGAGATGTGCTTACTTTTCATTAAGAAATAATGAAAAAAATGTAATTAGTCAATAAAATTCAATTCAATTACAATAGTCCTAAAATAGGCTTCATTTTCTTTATGCAAAGTATAAATTCTTTTCATTCTGGATGTATTCACTACTTACATTTTGAGTGTGAATCTAAAGTTTCTTCACTTACATGAGTGGATGTCTTTCCTGAGGACCCAGAATTCAGAGTTATCCTCAAATCTGACCAAACAGCACTGCTTGACGCTGTCCACCTGCCAAATAAATACAGTCCAACATCACAAACAGCACTACACCGATTTACACGAGTCCAACAAGTCACAGTTTCAAACTTTCTCTTTTCCTCTCTCTGCTATAGTGTCCTTTTCTCTCTTCCAAACTAACTTAGACAAACAGCAAACTTACTCGTTTGACATTGCCGAGGTACAGAAGTCCATCGCTCCACCTGGCTAAAACATCCTCTCCTTCACTGACTCCCCCCATGCTGAAGAGCGCGGGAAAGAAAAGTGCAAAAAAAGATCCAGGGGCATTAAAACTGTGTTTCCACACCAGCAGCAGCAAACAGCAAACAGCAAACAGCAGCAGCCTAAAGGGTTAAACTCTGTGCATAGCGACAGTATACAGTACAGTAGCATAAATGATGAAGAGTCAATGCACATTGCAGTGCCACACATGATCAAAAACACTGGCTGCCTTATGCAACGGACCATAATATATGCAGATGACACAACAACACGCAATGAAAGAGCGCAAGCAAAACGCATGGCCAGATGTGCCCTAATCAATGCACCCAACTCCGAAGAGCTGACACACATGATGGCACGCGCATGCACATATCAATTAACACGCATGACAGATCATACGTGGACGGGATGTACCTGTGTTAAGTGTTCTGCTCTGCTGGGGTCACAGAGACGGGGATGAGATGTATGAACCGCCTGATGCCCGGTGTTGTTCTGCGTCTCAATCACTGTCCCGAATAATCGGCGCTTTGGAGAGTCGCCGCGGATCAAAGCGTCACTCAAGCCGTCAGTGCGCAACCGTCTGTCCGTCCGTCTCTCTCTCTCTGTCTGTCTTCTGCTTCATGTTCCCAACCTCCCTCTGTCTCTCGGTTGATGCTATCAAGCGTGTTTGTCAGGGAAGCGGCATGAGAATCAGCCCGAGAGAGACGCCATCATCATCTCTGCCTCGCTCTCCTTCGACTTGTTGTGACGCAGACATAAAACACAGGGAGATGGAGAGGGAGGGAGATCCGGAGAACACCTTCACATCTGTACGAATGACCGACATCCCACCTGCGCCCGACCCCACAGGCGCTCGGCCGGTGCCGCACACTCACGGCGACTCATTAGCTTTTCCTTATATATATATAAGGAAAAGGCATGAATTCTGTTAATAACTCTTTGGAAGGGAGATGTGCTTACTTTTCATTAAGAAATAATGAAAAAAATGTAATTAGTCAATAAAATTCAATTCAATTACAATAGTCCTAAAATAGGCTTCATTTTCTTTATGCAAAGTATAAATTCTTTTCATTCTGGATGTATTCACTACTTACATTTTGAGTGTGAATCTAAAGTTTCTTCACTTACATGAGTGGATGTCTTTCCTGAGGACCCAGAATTCAGAGTTATCCTCAAATCTGACCAAACAGCACTGCTTGACGCTGTCCACCTGCCAAATAAATACAGTCCAACATCACAAACAGCACTACACCGATTTACACGAGTCCAACAAGTCACAGTTTCAAACTTTCTCTTTTCCTCTCTCTGCTATAGTGTCCTTTTCTCTCTTCCAAACTAACTTAGACAAACAGCAAACTTACTCGTTTGACATTGCCGAGGTACAGAAGTCCATCGCTCCACCTGGCTAAAACATCCTCTCCTTCACTAACTCCCCCCATCCTGGAGAGCGCGGGAAAGAAAAGTGCAAAAAAAGATCCAGGGGCATTAAAACTGTGTTTCCACACCAGCAGCAGCAAACAGCAAACAGCAAACAGCAGCAGCCTAAAGGGTTAAACTCTGTGCATAGCGACAATATACAGCACAGACGGATAAATGATGAAGAGTCAATGCACATTGCAGTGCCACACATGATCAAAAACACTGACTGCCTTATGCAACGGACCATATTATATGCAGATGACACAACAATGCATGAAAGAGCGCGCAATTGATTGCATGCAAAACGCATGCCCTAATCAATGCACCTAACTCAGAAGAGCTGACACACATGATGGCACGCGCATGCACATATCAATTAACACGCATGACAGATCATACGTGGACGGGATGTACCTGTGTTAAGTGTTCTGCTCTGCTGGGGTCACAGAGAAGGGGAAGAGATGTCAGTCTCACATGAAACGCCTGATGCCCGGTGTTGTTCTGCGTCTCAATCACTGTCCCGAATAATCGGCGCTTTGGAGAGTCGCCGCGGATCAAAGCGTCACTCAAGCCGTCAGTGCGCAACCGTCTGTCCGTCCGTCTCTCTCTCTCTGTCTGTCTTCTGCTTCATGTTCCCAACCTCCCTCTGTCTCTCGGTTGATGCTATCAAGCGTGTTTGTCAGGGAAGCGGCATGAGAATCAGCCCGAGAGAGACGCCATCATCATCTCTGCCTCGCTCTCCTTCGACTTGTTGTGACGCAGACATAAAACACAGGGAGATGGAGAGGGAGGGAGATCCGGAGAACACCTTCACATCTGTACGACTGACCGACATCCCACCTGCGCCCGACCCCACAGGCACTCGGCCGGTGCCGCACACTCACGGCGGCTCATTAGGGAAAGTTTGGGCAGTAATTAGTCCAGCAGAGCCGCGCCGCGTGGACTTTTTGGAGAAAGTTTGGAAATGCCCTTGGGTGCCGGCAAAAATCTGGCAACGCTGCTGTTCGCGCCCTTTCCGCGAAAAGCAAACGGGGAAAGGGATTTTCTTTGGCAATGTTTGAACCTGCGATTGCAAAAATACAATGTTAACCGATATTAGGGTAGATAATCATGATAGATCAACGTAGTGAGGGTAAATAGTAATACAAATACAAGACAAAAACACTTATTTTACACTATATATTTATTCAAAATAAAATTGTATAGGACGAAATGTTTTGCATTAATATTATGCATTTTTTGAAAAATGAACATGAAAAACATTTATTGTGCGCAATATCTTCACAAAATAAAAAATAACAATATATAATATAATAAATTATTATTATTAGTTGTTTTGCTGTAATATTGTACATAAATTAAAATAGTATGATAAAAAATTATATAAATAAATATTGTTTATATCATTATAAATGTAATAATAATTACTATACATTTTTTAATAATTACTATAAAAATGTTAAATGTCAAAACATAGTATTTTATATAACTTATATAACAGCTTGATTAAGAGTTAGGGTGTCAGATAAATGTGCTTCGGTTAATTATTATTATTATTATTATTATTATTATAGGTAAAATATACGAGAAAAATAAGAATTGACAAATGTGTTAACCACAAGGTATACAATCTTATTTCATGTCACAACACATGGCCTACTAGAAACAAAAGAAGATGAGGTAGATCAAAACGAACCAAATTCATGCTGTATCAAACACATTGTGATGACGGTGGTGCAGGAATGTTCAAAATGGCCTCTGGTGTGTCTTTTGTAAAGCAGTTTTTGGATGGTCCAGCAGAGAGCGCAAAACACAAAGATGCAGAGTGCAACTAAAGACTGGCTTTATTCCTATGCTAAATTACAACTCAACATAGACTGCATTTTAGATTGTTTCTCACATAGTGATTCTTCATACAAACATGAAAGTGTTGTGGGCAAGATACATTTGATATAATAAGTTGCCAAGCCATATAGAGAGCAAGCCTAAAGAGCTTGACAAAGGTGATAAATTATTCATAAGCACCCAACCACTATTTTAATTAGTCCACTCCAACGAATTGAATGCATAGCTCGCATTACCAATGCTTTTATTCGCCATAACAACCTTTTAATAAACACAGAAATCTCCCTCAGACATATTATTCCAGCTAATAGAGACGCATAGGCCTTGCATAATAACACATACAGCTTCTAACTTCACAACAGATGGAAAGTGTCCTGACAAACAAAAGGTCACATTATGTCTTCTTGTGCATGTACTGTAGCTTTGTTTTAAAATGGAAAATTATGAGCCTATACATAAAAACATAATTTATTACCTTTTGTAATTGTGAGACATTTATTGTTTGGATAAATACAACGTGCAAGTGCTTAAACCTAATTCTACTTTTCCCAAACCCCCCTTGGGTTGCTGATTTATGCCATATGTGGTGCGCTATGATTGGAAATAAATTATAAGAGATTGTTATATGATATTTATTTGACAACTGAAAAACATTTATTGTTTTTCATGGCACAGTGAGCATGCTATTTTTTGTCCTTATTTTTGTTGTTAAAGGTCTTCATGCCTGCAAGGCCCTGCCATAAAAATATTGCAAGGTCGGAGTGGAATCCACAGCTGGCACTCTGCTCAAGGATTAGCTTTAAATAATCACCCTGCTAGGAACTGCCCAGCCATTCAGAAGCATAAATCATTTACATCAAAAACTTCAACACCAACGGCCACTTAAAATTCAGGCTGTGAAACAACACCAGGCAATAAAATACAACCTTGACAATGTGTGAGGGTCCACACACACACACACACACACACACACACACACACACACAGCTAAATGGGACTTCTTATTGATGTACTGTCCATAAATAAAGTTAATATTTATAAATGGGTTGGGCAGTTGACACATAACATCAAAACAAGATTGTAAGTTAAAATTCATATGCATGTATAGGAGTGAGCCAAATAAAATAAAATAAAATACAAATACAAATAAATAAATAAAATAATTTATTCAGATGGATGAGCCAACATAAAATTAGATAATAAACAAACATATATAATAAGATAAAAAAAATAATAGCAAAAAATAACACAAATTATATTTTCATTCTTTTTTATTCAGATGGATGAAGGAAAAGTGGATAATAAATAAAACAAAATAATTATTTTATATCAGACGAATGAGGGAAATAATGTGGCTGGAATATTCACTTTTCCCCACTGTTTCAATTGTTTCATCTTCAGATGAATAAGTAGCAACAAAGTAGCAACAAAACAAAAGAAATAAGTAAAATACTTGGCAAAAAATAACAAAAGATATCTAAAAAAACATTATTTTATTGCAGATGGGGAAAAGTTTTTGAATGAAAACTTTTTGAATGAATGAGGAAAATAAAGTGGCTGGAGTTGCAGCAAAATAGGCTTACAATACAACACAATCAAAATTAAATTTTAAATAAAATTAAATATAGAAAATAGTAAATGCAAAATTATCTAAAAAATAACATTATTACACAAAGTGAATAAATAACACACACACACACACACACACACACACACACACACACAGCTAAATGGGACTTCTTATTGATGTACTGTCCATAAATAAAGTTAATATTTATAAATGGGTTGGGCAGTTGACACATAACATCAAAACAAGATTGTAAGTTAAAATTCATATGCATGTATAGGAGTGAGCCAAATAAAATAAAATAAAATACAAATACAAATAAATAAATAAAATAATTTATTCAGATGGATGAGCCAACATAAAATTAGATAATAAACAAACATATATAATAAGATAAAAAAAATAATAGCAAAAAATAACACAAATTATATTTTCATTCTTTTTTATTCAGATGGATGAAGGAAAAGTGGATAATAAATAAAACAAAATAATTATTTTATATCAGACGAATGAGGGAAATAATGTGGCTGGAATAGCAGCAAAACAAAAGAATAAAATAAAATA